TTTGTAGCCCAGGCTGGTCTCGAACTCGCAACGATCCTCCTGCCTCAGCCTCCTGAGTGCTAGGATTACAGGTGTGCGCCACCACGCCTGCCCGGCTATTGCTGCCTGTATTTTAAAAACTGTCACCCAAACTGATAGCACAAAAACAGTTTTCCGTCCCCTGGTCTCCGCCTCCTCTCCTCCCAGCTCCTCCCTTCACCACCAAACATGGTGAAAGGGTCCTTTGCTTGCTCTGTTGCGGGTTCAGCTTCCTGCGTCCTTACGCCCTGAAGCCTGGCTTTCGCCCACACATCTGAACAGAGCTTGCTCTTGACAGAGGCGCATGAGCCGGCTAAATGCCCGGTCTCTTTTCCGTTTCAGGTTTATTAATCTTTCTAACACGGCCTGCGGTTAATCTCTCCCTTCTCCACCTACGCTGGTCCCAGACGCCTTGCTCTCTTGCTGCTTCCCTTGCTCAGGGCCTCTCAGCTTCATTCCCAGGCATCTTTGTCCCTTGAAGGGCACCAGGTGACAGCTGCTCTGCTTACCCACGTCTTTGTCCTGCCCAACGCCATCCAGTTCTGTGGCCTCTTCAGTTCTCACTTTGTGGTGTTCAAGGCTACTTTTAAACCCCCCCAACGTATTTACTTATTTAAAAATACATACCAGCCGGCATGGTGGTGCACGACTATAATCCCAGCACTTGGGAGGCTGAGGCAGGAAGGCCTTTGTGAGTCAAGGCCAGCCTGGGCTACATAGTGAGTTCAAGACCAGCCGGTACTACATAGTGAGACCCTGTTTCAAATAAATAAGTAAACAAAAACCCAATAAACATCTATGACAACATACTTGGTTCAAAATTCAAAAGTCACTAAAGGATGTACTGTAAAAATTTCCCCCTAGCCAGATATTTAACTCTTGTTTCTTCCCATTGCTGAAGTCCTGCCTCTTCATCCAGGAATACTCCGTTGCTTTTATAGACATACCTATGTTTAGTGACTTTTGTGTCACAAACTGTAGCACACTCTACACATTGTTTGATACCTTAACTTTTTTTTCAGTTAACAATGTATTCTAGACAAAGAAGAATAATAAAAAAATAAAAATAAACTGCTGGGTGTGGTGGTGCACGCCTGTAATGCCAGCGCTCGGGAGGCTGAGGCAGGAGGATTGTTGCGAGTTCAAGACCTGCCTGGGCTACAAAGTGAGCTCAAGGCCAGCCTGAACTGCACAGCGAGACCCTGCCTCAAAAAGACAAACAAAACAAAACAAAACAATGTATCTTTAAGATTTCAGAAATGCTTCCTGGCAATTTTCTTTTTATACTTCCCATCTAAGCAGTAAAATCTACTTGTCAGAGCGGAGATAGGCAGAAACGGGATTTAGGGATGGAGGCGGAAAGGCGTGCACGCCCAGTGTACTCTTATTTGTGCCGTCCATTTTTCTATCATTCTTCTCTCTGTGCGTATTTCTGGAAAATTGCTTCTCACTCTTCACTTTCTAGTCAGGTATCACTGTTTTTCCTGACTCGTTTGGACAGAAATAACAACAAAAAAAAAATCCATAAAATTTTGTCAACTTTAAAAAAGTTTTATTTTCCGCTAATGTAGTTGTGCATGTTTAGAGGATGCAGTGTGACGTGTTGACGTAGGTGTACATTACATAATGACCAAATCAGTGCAGCTGGCCTGTTTATGACCTTAAACAGTTACCATGTATTCATAGTGAGAACATTAAACATCCTCTATTATAGTTATTTTGAGAATTATAACTCTTTACTGTTAACTGCAGTCGCTCTTCTGAGGCACTCCTCCTCCCATGTAAATGTGACCTTGTAGTCCTTGACCAATCTCTCCTTATCTCTCTCCCCTCTCCTCTCTGAGACTCTGGCAAAGCTTTCTGTTCTGTATGTCTGTGAGATCAGCCTTTTTAGATTCCACACATGAGTGATGTTATGCAGTGTTCATCTGTGTCTGGCTTATGTCATTTAACATAGCATCCTCCAAGGATAATGTCTTCAATAATCGGTACTGGGAAAACCGGCTATCCACATGCAAAAGATTGAATCAAGACCCAAATATCTCACTGTGTACTAAACTAAAATTAAAATGGATCAAAGATCTCAATGTCAAAACGGAAACAATCCACTGGGAGATAAAATAAGTGAAACATTTGAAGACATAGGTGTAGGCAAGGACTTTCTGCACAGAACTCTAATTGCACAAGAAATAACATTAAGAATCAACAAATGGAATTATATCAGATGAAACATCTTCAGCACTAAGGAAACAACCAACAGAATGAAGAGAGACCACCTACAAATGGGAAAAAAATTTTGTTGCTATTCCTTGGACAGGGTACTAAAATCTAGAATATATGAGGAACCCTCAAAATTAGACCCCCCCATATAAAATGCCCAATCATAAAATGGGCAAGTGAAATGAATAGACACTTCTCAGAAGAACTACAAATGGACCAGTAGGTACATGAAAAAAAAATGTTCAATCTCTCTGGCCATTAGAGAAATTGAAATGAAAATGACACTGTGATTTACTCTTACTCCAGAAAGAGTGGCTATCATCAAGAAATTAAATATAGCTATAACAATTTTTGGTGATGCGGTAGGGGAGAAAGAAGCCTTCTGCATTGTTGGTGGGAAGATAAACTAGTATAACCACTGTGGAAATCAGTGTGGGGATTCCTCGAAAAGTGAAGCTAGAAATTCCATTTGACCCAGCTATTCCCCTCCTAGGCACCTTCCTGAATTAAAGACATCGTACTACAGGGATACATGAATTCCCATATTTATAGCAGCACAACTCTTACTAGCTCA